AATGTTTCTATTTTTCATATTACATGGCTGGATACCTTCTGGACAGACCTTGTATATTACAGGGGGTAAAATAGTTTTACAATAAGGAAACCTGACAGACATCACCTTAACTAGGTGATCAGAGCTAACATCAACATCAATGAGACATAACAATATCATATACCCCCAATGTGATATACTGAGAAGAACCTGAAATCATTCTGCAGAATTCTCACCCAAAATGCATAACTTCAATTCAATCATAAGTTATCAGACCAATCCAAATTGAGAGACTTCCTTCAAAACAACCAATTAGTACTCCGAAAGTGCTAAGGTCATAAGAGACAAAAGTCAGATTGTCAGATTGGAGGAGGTTTGGGAGGCATGAGTAAATCCAATGGAATCCAAAATTTAATTCTACAACAGAAAAATTCAAATTCCAGTGGAAAAAACTGGTGAAACCAGGATAAAATCTGTAGTTTAATTAATAGTATGGTACCAGTGTTAATTTTTCAGGGTTTTTAAAAAGATTTTATTTATTTTTTAGAGAGGGGAAGGGAGAAAGAGAGGGAGAGAAGAATGGTTGTGTGAGAGAAACATCCATCAGTTGCTTCCCACTCAGCCCCAACTGGGGACCTGGCCCCCAACCCAGGCATGTGCCCTGACTGGGAACTGAAGCGGCAACCTTTGGGTTTGCATGCTGGCGCTCATCCCACTGAGCCACACCAGCCAGCGCTAATTTTTCAGTTTTAATAATGAAGCTATGGTTATGCAAAATACTAATATTGGGAGAAGCTGAAAGAAACTTACATAGAACTCACTGTACTACTTTTGCAAGTTTTCCATTAAGTTCAACATTATATCAAAACAAGTATATAAAAAGTTGTCATCTTCATCTACATGAAAGGAACTCTATAATACCCTAAGTTTTCTAAGTTTTTGTGGATACATGAAGGATTAATGATCAGGGAGAACTGAGTAGGTTAAAAATGGGCAGAGCAACCAGCCAAATGTTTAGCCAAATGACATGATCAAAGGAAATATGCCAGATGTTTTCCACTAGCTCTACATATGGAAGCACCTACACTCGGCAGGGACCCCCTGTAAAGAGAAACCAGAGACACAAACTCTGATTTCAACCACAGCATGAAGACTGACCAATAAATATCTTATTCTCTGTCAAGATTTCTATTTCCCTTATTATTCCTGAATCCTCTAGAGGTGTAACTTGTGTGCACCAGAACTTGGTGTGCCTGTGTATATGTCCATAAGCTCATGTAAATATCTTTTAATTAATTTCAGTCCAGGAAAGTACCAATGAATATGTCATTAAATTTAGTCTTTTCTACAAAATAGTTATTCTCTACTCATCATTATTTCCATTTTAATAATATCTTTCTCATTATAGTTATGATACTATTAGGAAACAATATCCCCTTTACAAAACTTTTAACATTGGTGTAGAATTAGAATTCCTGGGATAACCTTGGTTAGCTTCTATATTTGTTTTTGAGGAAGAGTTGTTTCTTCTCTTCTTTTATTTTTATCCTCTTTCAGGAAGTTTATGGCATAAAGAGATAAACATAAGAAATACTCATGGCCATTTAACACTATACCTTCACTGAGAAATGTCATCTATGTTATTTCTATATTACTTAGAAAACCTTTGAAACCATAAGATATCCCCAGCTTTATCTCAGCTACTTTTCATGTTGTAAGTGAAGTTATTTTGTATGTATGTCAACATTTTCCCTATGGATTCTGAATAAGGGTGTAGGAGCTTAGCTTCTATAAAATCACATGATTCTAAAGATAGTTCCAATCATTTGTTTAACAACTAAGAATTTATAATCCTTCCTTCTAATTTTCCTTTATGGTATAAAATATAAAGGATAGAACGTTTGTGGAAAAAGAAATTTCTTCTCCTCTTCCCAACAAATATTTAGTACTCTTGAGTCTATTTCCTGCATGAGTAAGTTTTGGGGATTGGTACCAAGACTGTTTTATTCTTCTCCTTACATCAACAACTGTGGTTAAAATTAATAATAGTAATAATAAAGCTAACAACGATCAGATGCTTGCTTGGTGTTAGACACGATTCTAAGCAACTGAAGCATGCTGTCAAATGCCACATGGCAGCCAATGGTGCAGGTGATGTGTGGGTCTGGCAGTCTAACCCCAAGCCTGAGTAACAGGAAAGTAAACTTCACACTGGTTACTGGCTACTTACTTTAATAAAATAAAATGGACAGGCCCCCCAAAATCACAATGGACACCCAGCTTCAGAGCTAAAGATTAACAGGGAGAAGTGTACAATTGAGCGGCCATTACTCAGCTTCAGCCAGTGCTGGCAGGCAGCAGCACAGGCCTAAGTAGCTGCATCCTCTGAATTTCTTTCCCTCCTTCCTTTCTTCCTTCCTTCCTTCCTTCCTTTTTTCCTTCTTTCCTTCCTTCCTTTCTTCCCTCCCTCCCTCCCTTTCTTTTTTTCTTGGAAGCCAGCAGTACAGAGTTATATCAGAAGCCTCTTGATTTTGAAATGGTGCTGTGTATTTCAATCATTTTATAAAAAAAACTATTGGTCTGAAAGTAAAGAGCCATATTCTCATGGCAGGGACTGTGTCTCATTCCTCTTTGTATGCCTAACACCTAATAAGCTGTTGGCACATAGTAGGTGCAAAGAAGGCTGTCTTCTACTGTTAAAAAACCTGTCATTTTATCTTGGCCATTTTATAATTTTGGTAGGAATTCATTAAAGTATTCTACAACTATTTACGGAACTACAACATGTCAGCCAGTGCTCTGGGCACTTGGAATACAGTAGTGAAGAGAAGAGAATAGTGAAGAGAGCAACAGTGAGAGAGAGAAAGGAAATAGATACTATTTTAGTGAAAAAAAAATAGGCCAAAAAATATCAAAAACACATAAACTCAGATGGAGAAGGTTGGAAAATAAGGAGATGGTTTGCTTTGAATTGAAGCCATACTACCCAGAGCTACAGAATGATACTTGGAAAGTTAGATACAATAGTCTAAGCTTCCTAATGCCATATTGGTCACTACACCACAAATATGTCACACATATGTAAGCAATTTAAAGGAAAGGGTATTCTTGAAAAAGAGAGTGCTTTCTACATAAGTGGAACAATACGATCTTGCTCCTTGGCTTGAAAGGAAGTATTGATCAGTAGTTAGTGAGTCAAAGGTTAATAACTTGGGCTTGATTATTTCTGTTATCAGGCTCATGATTGATGGTGTCCTCTGGCTCCATGAAATACAGGGACCTCTTTTTGATTGCTGTTACTGAGAACCAAGAAATCAAGCTATTCTCTAGTCATTTAGTTGCAGGGGCAGTGGTCATCTACATCCTGCATCAGAGGGTGAGTGGTACAAAGGTCCCCATAGAGAGGGTACAGGGTAATCACCACAAGTGCAAACCTGGAGCAACATAAATCTAATTGGCAACTTGTATGGTAAAGCACTAGCTAGCTATGACACACAGCTCTTCTGCTCTCATGTATTATCATTCCACAAGGCCACATACTGAGTTAATGGAACTTCTCCAGTTTGCTTTGGAAACGGATATAGTTTCAGATAGCCCAAATGGCACAATCTGGCTATTGCTCCTAGACAGCTGCTGGGAGTCATAGACAGAAGAGCTACTGCAGGGTCATCCAAAAAAGCACAAACCTGGCCCCTTGCTTCTTAGCTAATTACTTATATCTATTTAGTTCCTCATAATTTGAGTCATTATAGTGAATGGCCAATGAATATATTTAGAAAACACCCTAAAGACAAATGCAAGTTTGTATGTTCAAGCAGCCTTTAAAATAATGTATGCAGACCCTAAAGCTGGAAGGAAAATGTTATTTTCTCATTGTCTTTATATAAAAATTAGATTCTACTCGACCTGCTCTTTTTGGAAGAAACAATATTTTCTTTGTTAGCCAAGTCCAAAACAGACCTCACACCAGCGCATCGTGTTCTTCTCGTGTACACTAGCCAAAGGAGTATTCCTTGAAATAGAAGTCACCATCTGTTGAAAGCCTCACAAGTCAATTAAATTAGAAAACAAATAATCATTATCGCATAACTAAAAAGTATGAGAAAAATAAATGATTGAAAATAAATATGCAAAAAGCACACCACTCAAACTCCCAACTTGCAAAGAACACCATTCATCAACGGACCCACAGCAGGCAAATAACCATGTTAAAACAAATCAAACTTCCCCTAAATATGTGTCAGATATCAAACCATCTCAGTAGTGTACCATTTTTGTCTACCCACAGAAACTTCTTAACATTTTTGATTTAGTGAGTGGAAGTCTCATTGGCTTTAATCTTGCATCAAATAGAAAATGATAAAATAATTTAGCACAGATTACTGATTTATTAAATCTAAAATGCACTTAATGACCCAAAGGAAATACGTTATAATTGCATATAAAGGATAAAGTCAACATTAGCAATAATAAAATGATACCAATGTATTTACACAATTCAAAGATTTTTTTAATCTATAGATAAAATCGTCTTTAAAAGTCTACTGAGATTTACTTTTTAGAGAAAGTAGTACGTTTTAGCTCGGGGGCATGGAGTTAACTCTAAAGAAGCTCTGGATAGTATTCGAGGATTTAGGACAATGTATTTCAATTTTTTTCTCTTTCTGCTTGTGTTTCATTTTAAATGATTTTTTAAAAAATTCTCCAATACCTCAAAGGGTGAATCTGGCAGGAATGAGGCATATGCCTACTATCACCAAGTTGTATTAAGAACACGACTATGCTGCTAATAACCTCTGCTAAACATGGACTTAATTAAGCCTTTGCGCGTGAGACTTTGTGCACTTCCCACTTCCAATCAAAGACAACACAAAGAACAGTAGGCTCAACTCATCCAGTCCACCAAAACCTGAAACAACAATCAAGTGACGGCGGTGGAACTCCCTGGCAGAAAACCCCGCTGCAAGCTGGAACCCCCAAGCCCAGAAAACCCCTGCTCCTTTCGGAGCGGCTCTTGGTACCTGCTGCCCGTGTGGCTGCTGGCGGCCCCGGGAGCGCAGCGCGGTTCGGAACTGGGCGGCTGGGAGCGAGCGTACGAGTGGTAGGCGGTCAGCACCACGCCGCCGGAGTCCTCCACTTCCATCGTCAGCCGCGCATGTCTCGGCTCCCGCCCGAGAACAAAGGCGGGGACCAGCATGGACCAGCACCGGGACCCCGTCACCAGCGGGGAGGCTGGGCCCGTCCGGTTCCTAGGGGCTTTCTCCGGGCTGTCAGGGAAAGCCCGCCCCGCCCGCAGTGCAGCCCTATTAACATGGATTGAAAAACACGCCCCGGAGCCCCGAAGGGGGGTGGGGGAGACGAAGAGGACTGGACCGTGGGGTAGAATCCCTGTTTCTAGGAAACTAGAAACCGGCCTTGATCCTTCAGGGCTTGAACTAGCTGCTCCAGTAAAGTTTCTCTTGCTTTGTTTCTTTTCCTTTTCCTCTAATCACCCCGCCCCCTCCAAATACACACACACACACACACACACACACACACACACACACACACACACACACACACTTCCAACCGGAGGCTTATCCCATAGTTAAGAACATTTCCTGCCTGGTAGCAAGGAGTGAGAGCAAGAAGCCGTGAGTTGGGAGCCCGGGCTGAGAAGGAGAGGAGCCAGGTCTACATTGTCGTCCGGGGAAGAAAGGAAGAAAATGTGACACCTCATTTAAAGCATCCACATCAAAAATTGAAGAACCGGGTTACGTTGCTGTGTACTTAGTCAAGTTACAATAAATTTGATTTCCTTTCTGGCAGGTAATTCCCTCTTACAGCAAGCAGCACATATCCCTCCCTCAGCCTCAGGGCCACAGCCAGCAGACTCTGACCTCTCTCCCACATCCCTTTCCTCCTCCCAATCCTAATCAAAGTAACAGACACTGCTTTCAGCTGCTCTGGAAATTAAACTTAATTCTTATGGGCTGAATGCATGTTATTTCTAAAGGTCTTCATGGGTGTGGGAGGGGCGACGGAGGAGGCTAGAAAGAAGACTACAGAAACTCTGTCTTTCACACCCTGACTAGGTGTGTTACCTGCTGACCCTTACACGCCCCTGGGAGATAGAGTGGAAAGGGAAGTTGCTTTACCCCTCACTGAGGAATGATGGCCTCAATTAGGCTACATAATTTCTCAGAATGTGTTTCTGCATCTGTGAAAGGGGGAAATAATATTCTTTTCATGAGATTAAAATCACCAATCACATGCTAAGTTCTCAAGAAATGTGGTTCTCTCTACTACTTCCTTTACAATCAAGGGAGGCATTTGTTTTCACTGCAGTTTCAGAGGTTGGGAAAGCAAGACATTTTTCATCCGAAACGCTTTTTTATAAAGTGTTTTGTCGATGAAAGAAAGGGTGGAATAACAACTAACATGTACCAAAATACTCATGTGTCGGATCCTGCACGTTAGCCGTTCAAAAACAACTCCATGAGGTAGGTGGTATTATTAGATCCCAATTTTATGAATATACTTATCAAGCATCCGTGTATGGAAAAGTTACTGCAAAGAATGCTTCATTCTCCCAAACTTTCAGATACAAAGAGGCATCTGTTTACCTACTGTGTCTAATGCCAAATACATCAAAACTAAGATAATACTTTCTTAAAATGTGAAACAAAGAAATAGTGTTAGTATTGATACATGTCCACAATGCCTCATCTATAGTAAAACCTTGGGACCAGACACATTGCAGAATTTATAAATATCTTTAGTTTTAAAAAGTAACGTGGTGCATACACAATTTAACATAGAACACTCTCCATTGGGACAGAACTCTTTTTTAAACATACCATTTCTTTATCAAAAATAACTGACCCTAAGTGGAATAAATAAAGTCTACTAATAGCCTCACATTGACTCAGATCAGGTTTGTCACCAAATATATTTTGGCACCAAACTTTTTAAAAAAATACACAAACTTTTTACAGCTTTTTGAATTTTGGAATTACCATAAGGAATCGTTGTAGTGGAACTTTTTCTGGCTATGGAATTTCTCCCTGGCACTTTTTTTTTCTTAACTATGTACTCACAATTTTAAATACCTTCAGGGTACTTTCTTGAAAATACTTTGGCCATAACTCTACCACAGATGTCCAACATGGCAGCAGAGCTTCCTCATGCCAGCTTCGGTGAGCCTCCTCTTCCTCTGTATACTCTCATTTAACACCCCTGGAGTCACTTCTACTCCACTCTCCAATGGATAATCAAATTTGGCATCTCTTTCTCAAAATGTCTGCGAGCCAGTCCTTCCCACTGCTACTGTCTTTGTTCTCACACCACCATCTCTCACCTGGTGATGGGACTCCTTCCTTGACAGATTACCTTCAATCACCTTCCTCTTAAACATTCCCCCTACTCAAAGTGCTGGGAGAGTGATTTTCCTAAAATAGAAGACCTCCCCTTCTCAAAAGTCCTCAGGTATAACCCATTTACTACAACATAAAGTCGGAACTCATTAGAATATCTTCTTGTTAATGTGTTTTGGTCACCTAAAATTTCTTCACCTCCAAGACTCTAAAGCCCATCTTACTTTGCCTTTGCTCCTATTTGTCATTTTCCTGTCTGTGAATCCTTGAAAATCCTCTACCTAACCCCATAAAGGTGACAAACACAAGGCCTGCGGGCCGAATCCGACCTTCCACCTTGTTTTATGCAGCCTGGCACCTTGTTTCTACCTGGCAGCAGCACCCAGCTCTCATTTAACTGTTAAGGAGTCGTTACATTTATATAGTCCTAAAATTACATTCAGCCCTTTGAAGGCAACTGCAAGGCTGATGTGGCCCCCAGTGAAAATGAGTTTGATACCCCCAATATACACCATGAGGGATAAATACAAACAATAAATACACTCATGTCAATTTAGGTGTCTTGTCACCAAGTAAGCTCAGGTCTGAAAAGTTTTGCAGTCAGATGAGTTATAAAAAAGCTTTCAGATTGAAGCGATTTTTGGATTTCAGAGTACAGACACGGGATTGTGGATCCGGTAGAGCCTGTGCACATCTTCGGCACGCTGGGAACCACTGAGCTAGGGATGACAGCTGATTCGGCAGCAAGCTAACCAGGAACACTGGGGAAGATTCTTTGTCTGGGAGCTGGGCTGATAAATTGCCCTTATGGTGGATGATGGACATTCAGGCATGGAAAAAGCATTTCCAGTTTACCTGGAGTAGGGCAGCAGTAGAGGGAAAACTCTAGTTTCCTTCCCTGTGCTGCTCAGATGTTACTGCAGTGCCCAGCACTGGAGCAAGAAAGGGAAACCTGAGTGTCACCAGCTCTGCCACAACCAGAGCATGGAAGCAAATCACTGAACTGCAGACCTGTTTCTTCACATGTGAAAGAAATAAAACAGCCCACATTTATTAAATATGTGTCATGTGCCCAGTTCTGTTCCGGGCTTCAGAGCCACAACTCATGAAATGCTCCCAATAGCCTTCTGAGACAAGTGTTATTGCTAGCAACCTTCCCAGGGTAGGCCACAGCAAATCTGGGTAGGGATTCAAACCCAGGCAGTCTGGTTCCCTGAATCCAGGCTTTAAAATATTATATTTCTCTCATACAAGTTTGCTGAGATTCAAACTATGCACAGTCTGTCCAGAAAGTATCCAGCCATGTAATATGAAAAATAGAGACATTTATTGAGGAAGATATAAGAAACGTTGTACATAAGACAATGATGTTTCAGTCCCCTTCAAAGGAGGCACCTTGGAACCTCACACAGTTCTCCCAGTTGCCATCAGCTGCCCTGTTGTATTTTCTGAATCTTATCAACAATCTGGAATCTCTTCTCTTTCAAAGGTGATTTTAGTTTGGGGAAAAGTCAGAAGTCACAGGGCACTAATCTGGGCTGTAGAGGGGCTGAGTCAACTGGGTGATTTGATGTTTCTCCAAAAATCTCTGCAGAAGAAATGATGCATGAACAGGCACATAGTTGTGATGAAGCTGCCTATCACCACTTACCCATAGATGTGGCCTTCTGCATCATCCATAGTTTCCCCCAAGGAATGTTCAAGCTTAATGCAAAATTTGATGCAGATTCATTGCTCTACTCACTCAGTCATTTTTAATTCAACAACCACACAGTATACATGCTCACTCAACAGCATCCACTGCCCCCACTGACTAGCACAGTGAAGTCATCAATTTGTTCACATATACGCATTCCAGTCCACTCTTCTTGGCTGTTGGATTACATCAATGTCATGCAAAACCATTCTCGTTATATTAACAATGGCTAGACTTTTTCCAGGTATTACTCCATTATAATGTAGTAAAATGGATATGATTATGTTTCTTTGTGTCAGCTTTCCATAAACCTATTTAGCATATTGAAGGATAGATATCACTAGCATATAATAATGATGATGAAAATAGGAATAAATGAAAGAATTACATATTTTCAATGCACAATACTAAGGTAGTTCAAAATGTATATCTATTTCATTAACTGCTAAGAGCAGTTCCCCAAACTGCTCTTAGAATGTGCTGAAGGTTAATTCAGTAATATTTCATCTGCCTTGCAAATTTGTCAGTACATACACATAAATAAGTCGCTAAAGAGTAACAACATACGTGAACTACAAGTGCATAAAGACTGTACTTTCCAAATAAACAGAGGAGACAGAGTAAAAAATCCAAAAGGGTCAAGCAGAGCTGAGTTTGAATTGGAGTTATGAATTTGCTGCTTACTGTCTGTGTGACCTTAATTTCTCTGTGTTTCAGTGTCCTAATGTGAAAAGTGAGGAATATCCTCAAGTAGCTGTTGGGAAGGTAAAATGAGATAGCATCTTTGGACCACCAGTCACCATGCTAATCATATCGTAGATGCTCAGTAGATGCTAGTTGTCTTCTCTTTTCTTTACTATCTCCATCACCTGTCTTCTACTCAGTCTTTCCAGAAGCATCATCTGAGTTCAACCCCCAAGAGTAAACAACCCGATCTTAGGAATTCCAAAGGAATTTCATAACCTTTACTGAGAGATGAGTCAGTCTCGATTTGAATAATTAAACTCCTGTGAGAAAGCCTCACAAACTCTAGGCCCTGAGTGTAAGTGAAATGGCAACAAGTATTATGCAGTATGGAATATTTCAACACATTCAACCCCACGAAGAAAGGCAAGAAAACAGAGCATTTATACAAAGCCTTAACAGTGACAAAAGAAAAGTGTCTCTCGTGGCCTTGCCTGCTTCTCTGGCAGAATGACTTCTAGGATAACCGTTTAATACCAGAACAGGAAAACAGCTGCAGCTGCCTGAATCTTTGCAGGCTCTGACGGTCATTCTCTCAGCAAGAGGGTGTGAAGTTACAGAGTCACTGCCACTGTGCCACAGGAAATGAAGGCACAGTTTTTATCTTTGTAGGGGAACCTGT